CGAGCAGAGATACCAAAACGATCTCTCTTAGGCATTGTGTATGAATCAATCCTAACTTCCACTTTGATCTTGTCACCCGATCACTAAAACGACACTCCAAGTACTCAGTCTTAGGGGAACACACAATCACACATTCCGCATGTTCAGATGTCCTAAATGGGAAAGAAAGAACAAAACTATTGGACGAATAGTATTGAAGAAAACAACATTTCTTGATCATAAAATGCATTGCAGAAATATATTACGAGTACTTTTAAATTACATATTTAGCCTTCATATCAGGAGCCAAGATGCAAGAATTTTCCATTCGGCAGCAATTTCTGAAAGGTTCGATACTGTTACGCTTAAGGCAATGGATGGCATCCTAATTTTAATTAGCGGCTGCATCAATAATTCACGTACTATAGAGAATGGCTTCCCAATTGAGGTATGCATATCCACTTATTGCGTTATTTTTTCTGCTTTTATTCTGCGTAGCTAAACCATAAGTGCTCTATACTATTAATACTCTGTCTCCCCTTTTAAGTTCATACCCTCCTTTTTATGGTTTCTCCAAAAAAAAGTCTTACCTAAAAAGTTTAATGTATCATTTCACCAATAAATCCTTAATTCAGGGCTTATTTGGGAACTCAACACCCAAAAATTACCTTGGCTAGAAATATGTGAAGTTGAAGTGAACTTCATTTGGTGACGAAGGGATTGTTTATTATCTCGGATAAAGCTCACCAAGTAGCCTTATTTTCGTCTACCTAACGAAGGGAAAACTGACTGAAGTGATGCATTCATTGAAACAGGTTTGCCAACATTTCTCCATTGGGTTTCCACATTACTGGGAGGAAGTTGTGGACCAATCTTTTGAACAATCAAAACAGACATATGCTCTACCAAAGTTCTCATTTAGTGATGATCTGCCAGCAACTTTTCTGCGTGATTTCTGCGTCCCAGAAATCAACACGACCACAAACGACCTCCCCGTGGAAATACCACAAAAAATGGGCAGTGTTTCGTCTAGGAGAAGTAAAATTTCTGCTCGCAAGTCGGGAAATCAGAAAAGATGAAGTGGATCATGGAGAAGTCTCACATGCAATTTCATGAAGTATTTGCAAGAAGTGAAGGTCATGAAAGTATGTGTGAGCTCAATCTGCTATATGGTTGGGATGTGGTTGTTTTAAACATCTGTATAGGATTGTACATTTACTAGTTCTAGAACTTAAATTAACTTTACGTTTTAGTTAAGAATATATTTTTAAATTTTGTGATCAAATTTACAAATTCTGCCTGTAAAAAGATATATATGGTTTTTTTTGGGACAAAAGCAGCGTCCCGTTCAACTTAATTTTTTTTGCTTATTACTTATTTTTATTAAAATGAGATCAGATTATATCTAATCTAATCAACTCAGATTCAATCCAATCAGACCAGATCTAATTAGATCAGATTTAGTTATTTCATATCTATAGCTCATAAATGTGCATAAATATTTAATAACTTAAAATAACCCTAACATATATTTTCATTTATGTTTTTTTAAATACGAAGTTTAAATAAAGGAGTGTTCTATGGTGCATTTTGGGTGCATACCATTTTTGTGGATATTCACACAATTTTTTTTATATTTAGAAAAGAAAAATGCTTATTTTGGTAGTAAAAAAATATTTATTTTGTTTGTATGTAGGCCCATCATAGAATTTGCCTAAATTCAAAATCTTAAAAACTTCAATTTTGCATGCAATTCATCCATATAATTTTATTCTTTTTTTATTCCTCCACGGCAGGGAGTTAATTTCCCTTGTGTAAGTAAATCTTTTTTCCATTGGTATACGTTTGGATATTCACACGCAACCTTTTTTGTACGCTCTTTAAGATTTTTTGTTTTGAAAAATGCTACTCCCTCCGGCCCAATTTATAGTGCCTGTTTTGGTTTACGATGTTTAACAAAATTATTTTTAAATTATTTTATATGACAAATGGTATAGAGTTAAAAATAAAAATTAAATATTAAAATACTCCGTACTATATTAAAAGTTCTACAAAACTATTAGTGACGATAGTACTTTATTTTATCAAATTGCTAATGAAAATAGAGAAAGAAAGTGAATGAAGTTTGACTATGTGAATAGTAAACAGACATTATAAATTGGGACAAAAGAAGTTTTTCGACCCCAATATTTGAATTCCACCATAAACTTCACGCACTTATAAGCCTTAGAGACATTGGATACTATTATGCGTAGCTAAGCCATAAGTGCTCTATACTATTAATACTCTCTCTCTAACTTTACATGTACTATTACATGTAAAGTTAGAAGTGAAGTTCAAATCCTATGATTTCTCAAGCATAACTTTTTTTTTTACTTTTACTCAATTTTTTGAAGCCTACATGGGAGAAATTTGAGGAAAAACAAAAAAACCCCGTTGGGATTTAAAAAACAACACAAAATTGATCTGGAGGAAAGAGAGTACTCCGTATATATTGGAGTCGTAGAACTTTGAAAAATATTAGCCATAGGTTATGGAATATGGAAGAACTTGATATGATAATATATTAGTTATATTATTTATTAATTAGTACTTCCTCCGTTCGGAAATAAAGCTTACGTTTCTCCTTTTTCTCCGTCCGAAAATAAAGTTTACATTTCTAATTTTAACCCACACTCTTCCAAAAATACCCTTCTCCATTTCAATCTTCTCTCTCCCTCTCCCCCCTTCCTCCTCTTCTTCCTTTTCCTCTTTTCTTCTTTTTTTTCTCCCATCTGTCAGATCTATCTTTTCAATCCTCTCTCCCCCTCCATCCTCTTCTTCTTCTTGCTTTTCTTCTTCTTTTCTTTCTCCCGACCCCTGTTCTTTCCCCCCCCCCACCCCCAATTGAGGACGAGATGGTGCCAAGACGCTGCGGCTTCCCTGCTGGACGACGATGGGCTGTTCCTGGTGCTCATATAGGGGAAGAGAGTCGTGGAAAGCCGGGTCAGGAGGGGCCGAACGGCCGGGCTCGAATCCGGGTCGGCTCAGGTTGAGCTGAAGTGGGCGGTCGTTTTGGGGGAGGAACAATTTGAGGAGGGACATCCTTGACGGCGATTTTCCGATTTTGAGCCAAAGATCCGGAGGCGGAGGGGCGGGAGAAGCGCGGCGGCGGCCTATGGGCTGTTTTCCTATTTTGAGCCGTCGGGTCAGGAGGAGACTAGAAAGGGGGTATTTTGGTCATTTTACAAGGTTAGTCGACCTCCTTTAAAAATGACCAAAAGTCAAAACGTAAACTTTGATACTGGACGGAGGGAGTATTATTTATTAATATTTTATAGTTAATCTAGTTTAGGGTTTAGTACGGGCCTAAGCCCATTAGGTCAGTTGGTGTTGCTGCATTACTCTATATATTGTAATCATTTCTCGTAATTACGGAAGCAATAAGAATATCAAAATTCTAATCTCTCGTCTCTCATTTCTTGGAGTCAGAAACACTCGAAGTTTTCCTTCTCTCTTTGCCTCCCCTTTCTTGGAGTCCAAAGACGCTCGAAGTTCTTCCCTATCCGATACGATATTCGTATTAATTGGTTCTCTCATTGCGAGAAACTCCAAACAAAAAAATCAAAACAAAAAAATCTGAGACGATCTAGTAGTAGCCGCCCTGTCCCAGCCGCCCAAATTTAATTTCGCCGATCTGAAAAGCAAAAACCTTTGGATGTGCCGAGCTTTTTGCCGTCGGAGAGTCTCCATCCGTTCCAAACGCCGCTGCCGCCGCTACATTTGATTTGATCCGTCCAAAACGGCGCAACCACCGCGCTTTTTGTCGTCCAGGAGCTTAAATTGGTTTCCCATCCAAAGCTTTGTTTGTGAAATTAAATCAGCCTCCAATTAAAAAAAATCATATCCTACTGCAGCCCTCAAGTCCTGCCCACTCACCGAAGCAGCAAGTGTCCATAGGATTTTTTTTGTGCTAATTTTGATTCAATTTGGGTGCTTCCACTTGTGGTGTTTTACCAACTACAACAACAAAGGACAAAACCAGAACTACTACTGCAGCACAAAGGCATATCGCTGAAAAAAAAGGGACCAGAGTCGATTTGTTTTTTTTGGACTGTGTTGATTGGTCAGCTCTGACCAGAATGCAGCGAGATTTTTCATTGCGAATGGAGGCTCAATTCACGCGCTTAGAGGCTTTGATTATTAGTACTGATGCATTGGACAAACTAATTGATTTGCTGGAGAATGTTCTATATGGAGAAATTGAGCATGACGAAAGAGTTTGCACACTTTTCGATCAAAAACGTTAGATGCTATAAAAAGTCTCATTGACACATCGTTTTCTCCACCAAGTTTACCCCTACGGCTAGAGACACAACTATCCAAATGAAGGAAGAAACAAGTATACACCTTGCTCCTATTGTGAAGGACATATCTGGATATGAGAGACTAAGAGTTGAGCCGCACCTCAAGAATGAAAAGTTTCTCGTCATGAAGGAAGATGATAATGTTACTATTAAAAATGATGAGTCATCCCACAAGTCAGATCTTGCATTTTATGATACATCAGGTGTTGTGGACACTGCATGGTATGAAGTTCTCGTGATTGTAGACCAGGTAGCAGAGAACTCAATTTCGTTGGAAACTTTTCAGTTATTTGACATTATTGTTGATATTGTCAAGTCTGAATATCTAGTTTCAAAGCAGACGATTCTACAAACTTCAACCAACACGCTTTTTGTAACACGCTCACCAGGTGAACTTTGTGTGTGGTTCAATGTTTTATCGCCAGTTCAGAAGCATGAGTGGGAGCCTCCACCTTGAGGACAAGGTGATTTTTAAGGGGGTGGGAATGATATGATAATATATTAGTTATATTATTTATTAATTAGTACTCCGTATTATTTATTAATATTTTATAGTTAATCTAGTTTAGGGTTTAGTACGGGCTAAGCTCATTAGGTCAGTTGGTGTTGCTGCATTACTCTATATATTGTAATCATTTCTCGTAATTACGGAAGCAATAAGAATATCAAAATTCTAATCTCTCGTCTCTCATTTCTTGGAGCCGGAAACACTCGAAGTTTTCCTTCTCTCTTTGCCTCCCCTTTCTTGGAGCTCGAAGACGCTCGAAGTTCTTCCCTATCCGATACGATATTCGTATCAGACCTCTATTGTTTCTTTATTTTCTTTGGCTCTCTTGTATTTAATCACTCTCTTGATTTGCAAACTTGGTATCATTTTAAAAAAGCTCTATGTACAACATTATACTATATGGTATCATAGAAGTATTAACCCAAAAAAACCCGCTTCGCCATCAACATGTCCGGTGGAGGAGATGCTAGCGCGCGAAATGCTCATTATGCAGATGCTTCCGTTGCAAAAATATTTTTTGTAGATTCATTTATGCAATGGATTTTCCTTTGCAAAGCAATGCATCAAAAATTTGCAACGAAAATGTGGTTGCACAATCTCGCTAAAGAAAAACTGCCACGGAAATGTCATTGCCAATGTTTGCAATGTAAACTTTGTTGCAACATAATGCAACAAAATTTTGCAACATAAAAATCAAAACAGAAATTGTTTTGAAGAACGGAGGGAGTATCATTTTTCTTTAATCTCGCGTAAGAGTTTATCAATTTTGACCGAAAAAATGAAAATTAGATAAATACTCTGGAACGGAGAGATAATTTTTTACTCCCTCTGTTCCTTTAAACTCTTCCTATTTTGACTTTGGGCAAAATAAAGAAAGTGTAATTTTGGTTCACTTTCCAATTTTACTCCTGATGTGATGAGTAAAAGTAAGATGTGATAGTTTGGTTATTAGTGAAAAAGTATGATGTGATAAGTAGAGTATGAAAAAGTAAGGGTAAAAGTAGTTTTTTAATAGAAAGTGGAAGTATTTTAGGAATAAGAAACAAACGAAAAGGGAAGGATTTTATTAAACGGTAATTAATAAAATGAAATACCAACTAGAGTTACAACAACTAAACAAAACAACACATAAGGTGATAAGGATGACAACATGGAACTAACACCTCATATATTATAAATTTATTTTATCTACATAGGGAGTAGTTTTTAATATAAATAACTAAGATATTTTATTTTTATATTCAATTTTTACAAAATATACATACACAAGAAAGAATTTTATATAAGCAGACTAAGCTGCTAGTAACAACTACTTCCGCTGTAGTGCAGGCTTATTGAAGAAAATTGCAACTCAACCGGGTTCGAGCGCCGGCAGCGGAGATTTATTTTTTCGATGTCATCGCCTTCCAAATTTAGGGTTTACGACATTCTGTTCTCTTGAGATTTTTTTTTTCATGGCCTTAGATTCAATCTTTCTTTTTTTAATAACATGTATGTAAACTTGTAGCATATGGTAAATAGATTCAGGACTGGCGATAACAGAGCAGCAACCTAATGCCTGTTGTAGATCAATTCATCACGTAAAATTTACCCATTTATTTTTTTTAGGTAGTAAATAAATATTTATTTTGCTCATATATAAGGTTTACCATAGTATTTGCCTAAATTAAAAATCTTAAAAACTTCAATTTTGCATGCAATTCATCCATATATTTTTATTCTTTTTTTAATTCCTCCACGGCAGTGAGTAAATTTTCCCGGTGTGAGTAAATCTTTTTTCCATTGGTATACTTTTGGATATTTACATGTACGCAACCTTTTTTTTGTACGCTCTTTAAGTATTTTTTTTTTTTTTGAAAAAAGCTATTTTGATCCCAAGATTTAAATTCCACCTTAAACTTCACTCACTTATAAGCCTTAGAGACATTGGATACTATTACATGTATGTCTGTAAAAGTGAAATTATAACTTTTTTTTTGCTTTTACTCAATTTTTTTGAAGCAGGGAGAGATTTGAGGAAAAACAAAAACTCCACCCTTGGGATTTAAAAAACAACCACACAAAAATGATGTGGAGGAAAGCGAGTACTCCGTATATATTGGAGTTGCAGAACTTTCTAAAATATTAGCCATAGACTACGGAATATGAAAGAATCTTGAGCAATGCTAGGGGTACACCAAAGGTGTACACCAAATGTACATCACCCCCTTCTCCACCACCTATTTTTATTTTTAATTTCTTGTCTTTTTATGTGGACAAGGAAGGGGTGGGAGATATATGTGGTACACTTTTGGTGCACCCCTAGCATTTTTTAAGAATTTTATTGTTTATTTATTTTCTTTGGCTCTCTTGTATTTAGTCCCTCTTCTGATTTGCAAACTGGGTATCATTTTAAAAAAGCTCTCTGTACAATCTTAGGAAAAAAAGCTCTCTGTATAACATTTTGAAAATATTTAATATAATAGATCTAATAGAATTATTTTTGTATTAATATGTATATAATATCACTTTTATTTAATTTGGGGTCAAGATTTACCTATTTTGACGGAAAAAATCAAAAGTGGATAAATACTCCGGGACGGAAGGAAATATTTTGTTAGTAAAATGAAATACCAATTAATCTTAACTAGAGTTACAACAACTAGACAAAACAACACATAGGGTGATAGGGATGACAACATTGTACTAACACTTCATATATTATAAATTTGTTTTTATCTACATACGGAGTAGTTTTAAATATAAACAACTAAGATTATTTATTTTCGAAAAGTAACTTAAATTTACACAGAATATTTAATTTTAATAAAATATACATACACAAGGAACAGTTTTATATAGGCACATTACGCTGCTAGTAACAACTATTTCCGCTGTAGCGTAGGCTTGTTGAAGAATTCTGCAACTAAACCGGGTTCGAGCCCCGGCAGTGGAGATTTATATTTTATTGTTCATCGCCTTCCAAATTTAGGGTTTACAAGGAGATTTTTTTCCATGGCCTTAGATTCAATCTTTCTTTTTTTAAACTTGTATGTAAACTTGTAACATATGGTAATTACAAGGAGATTTTTTTCCATTGCCTTAGATTCAAAATCATAAAATTTAAATTTATAAAATTATAATATGACCCCAAATGATCTGAAGGTGACTTAGAAACCGCTATTGGACTACCGGTGAAAGAATATTGAAAGCTCGTATACTTTTGTGATATGAATTAAAGTTTATATATCGAAGTGAAATAATGATGAAAGTTTGTATATGCATGAAATTTACCCCACAAAAAAACAGTTTTATATAAGCCCATTGCGTTGCTAGTAACAAAGAATTCCGCTGTAGCGCAGGCCTGTTGAAGAATATTGCAACTCAACCGGGTTTGAGCCCCGGCAGCGGAGATATTTTTTTTCGTTGTTCATCGCCTTCCAAATTTAGGGTTTACGATATTCTGATCTCTTGAGAAGATTTTTTTTTCATGGCCTTAGATTCAATCTTTCTTCTTTTTTAACTTGTATGTAAACTTGTAACATATGATAAATAGATCAATTCATCACGTAAAATTTACCAAATTATTTTCCTCATATCTTTTAGGGTTGTGGTGACAATTTGGTATCGTTCAACTGTTCTCATTTCTTTCTCTCTATGCAGTGACAATCCTGCACTTTAAACTGCGCTGTACGCCTCTCTCCAAAAAACCCAGCATGTGATCTCCTCTCAAAGATGCTTGAGTAGGTGTCCCCATCTTAATGCAATTTGTGTTGGCGAAATCGAAGATAACACGGATTAATTTGAGAGTCGTGGTATTACTTTCAGATTGATTATTTTGGGTGTTCAATCCAAAAATCAAAAATCAATCGGATAAAACTCAAATGCATGCGTTAGTTTCATATTAGAATTGGAGAAAATACGTACTTCCTTTTGATCTTATTTTTTTATGTTATCGTTAGTATCATTACCTTTGAATATGTCATATATGAGACTTGCATTGAACATCTCAAACATTGAGATATATATGCTAGATCTGGAACACTTAAGTGGTTTGCTATTCATAAAACGCAATGGCGCTTTGCTTTAATTTGAAGCTTCGGTGTGTTGTACGTCATCGGATTGAGTCACCCCTATTCGCATCTTCCCTTTTGTAACATCAGTTATTCTGCATTGGGTTAAGGTTCCATGAGAAAATTTCAGTCATCTATTATTCATATTGTTGATCCCATTAATCTACTACTCCCTCCGTCCCGCAAAACCTTTATCCTTTCATTTTTCATCCGTCCCAAAAAATCTTTCTCATTTTTATTAAAAAGTCTCCCTTAACCCTTTCTAATTCTTAACCTACTTATCTCATCACACTTTTTCAATATCCATCCACACATTACATCCTAGTTTTACCATCACATTCAAGGGCATTTTTAAAAAGTCAACACCAAAATACACACCCCTCGATCAAATCTTTAAAAGTCAAAAATAAAAGGTTTTTTTGGAACAGGGGGATATTATTTTGTGAGTTAATTTGTGCATGTTTTGTTGGTTTATGTGTGTAAAGGCAACGCCTCGTTTGCCACTAAAATGTTTTTTTGCTCATTTCAGTTGCAGTTGAAAAAGAAAACAAAAGTTGTCACCAAAAGGATGAAAAAAATGCTAGAGATGGAGAAGCGCTTGCGAGAGACTGAAAATGCTAATTGTTTTGTGTGTTGGGGCTAATGGTCAGGGGCGGATCTACAGCATTGTATATGGGGGCAGCTGCCCCCAGTGAAATTTTTTTTTAATATATATATATGTATATTTTTAATGTTATATATAATTGCCCCCAATTAAAAAAAAAATCTGCCCCCACTGGCCCAAAACAATTAAATAGGCTAGAGACCCATCCAAAATTAGCCCAATCCAAATTCCCAAAAATTAAAAAGAATTTCCCCCCTTCCCTTTGCTTTTGGAGAAATCGAGAAGAGGAGCGGAGCAATTGAAGACCGATTCTGCTGATTGCCGAACAGCCTGAACAGTCCGCCGTGTCGCCGTCGCCCGTCCGCCGCGTCGCCGCCGAGCAGCACCGAGCAGTCGAGCACCAGCTACCAGGCACCAGGTATTTCCAAATAATTTTGTCTCCTTTTTTAAATTGTGTACTAAATAATTAGGTAAATCTGAAAATTAGATTTATGTGTAATTTGTGAAACCT